GGTGAACTTTTTTGAAAAGATATGCAAATAACAGTTCATTTCGTGCTTTTTAGGTAAAAGTTCATCAAACTACAGTATAGGAGCATGGGAGTGATAAAAAGTTATAACCCTATTATACATTTATAACAAATTGAGACGCTAAATTTCTGAAAAATTTATATAGAATTAAGTATAAAAATGATACTGAATTGTCTTGAGAAATGTTAAAACATAAATATAAAAACATAAAACCTTTAACAAAATGGAAAATAATAAAGCCCTACTATCAACAATATATATGTATATATATATATATAAACAAATTTTTTTAAAAATTGTGTAAGTTAGTTTTAGAATGTGTTTTTATGTTTTACTACTTACTAAAAAAAAACTTGCTTTTTTTTCAAATCAACTTCTTAAAGATTTAGATTAAGCTGGGAAAAAAAATTTATTTATAACTTTTAGTATAACTTAAATAAATTTTTTTCCCAGTAAGCTGGGAAAAAAATTTATTTAAGTTATACTAAAAGTTACTACAATTGCAAAATGTCAAGCCTATTATAAATTGAGATGCAAAAAAGATCAAAAAATTTTCAACAAATTTATAAAACTTGTCCATATTGTAGAATTAGTTAATTTGTTGTTTTTTGTTTAAGTGTTTTGTAAAGTGTTTTCTTTAAAGAACTTTTCATCAATATTGTCTCTTGATTCTGTTAGTTGCTTTCTACCTGATATAGCCGACAAACAGGTTGATCCATTGCTTGACATTTTTATCACTCCATCTTCTGTATCTAAAGTTATTTCCTGCTTCGACTCTTATAAAGCTTGTGGAAAAGATAACATACTTGTTAAGTAGTTTTAAAAGTATAGACAACAGAGCTGTTGTCTATACTTTTAAAACTATTTAGCAAGTGCTTATCAGAGTCTTGTTTTCCAGACTGCTGGAAAGCAGACTAAAAGCAGTCTGTTATACTTATTTTCAAAAAATAAGTATAACAGACTGCTTTTGGAGAACGATCTGACTCGCTTAACTACCATCTCCTTAGTCTTCTTCCTATCATGAGCAATGTTTTTGAATTTTTAATTAACAAACACTTAATCTCTTATTTTGAACCTAATAACTTACATTCTGATTATCAATATAGAACTTGATCTTCTTGTTCTACAGCCGATTTGCTAGCAGTAAAAATTGTTAGGTTTTATTGTACATTAGATAGAGGTGGAGAAGTTAAGGCTATCACTATTGACATTTCTAAAGCTTTTCATAAAGTTTGGCATGCTTGTCTTCTCCATAAGCTTTCTTTTACGATGTATCAGGTAACATCTTTAAGATTATTGAAACTTTCCTTACCAATTGTAGTATAAAAATTGTCCTTGATAGATAACACTCTTCTTCATATCCTGTAACTTCACCGGTTCCTCAAGGTTCAATCCTTGGCCCTATACTCTATTTAATTTACATTAGGAATCTTCCATATATTCTCACATCTAAGGTAGCATTGTTTTCTGATGATACTACTATTTATTTTTGTCTTGATAAGAAACCAACACTCTCTAATTGCTTGGAGGGGACATTTGAGTTTGAAAAGAATCTCACTTCTGCTACAGCATGGGGTTCACAGTGCCTGGTGAACTTTAATTTAGATAACACCTAATTTACAGTTAACCGTCATCGCAATAGTTTAGGTCTTTCTATATTTATGAACAAAAATGTACTCGATGAGCAATCTACCCTTCATCTTCTAGAATTAAGTCTTACTTCTTATACTTTTTTGAAAACCATATATCAAATCCATTGTAAAATTAGCATCTGCTAAGATTGCATCTCTTTATCATGCTCGACACATTCTTAATCCGGATTCTATTCTTTATCTCGCTTCTTTATCTCAAATAAATTCTTTATCTATTCTTTATCTCAAATCCATCCTTCTATGGAATACTGTCACCATATCTGGGGCGGATCTTCCAATGAGGCAGTTTCTCTTTTAGACAATGTGCAAAAAATACATTGTAAACATAGTTGGACCTTCTCTTGCAGCCAACCTCCAACAATTATCACATTGTTGTAATATTGCTTCTCTTTCTCTTTTCTACAAATACTATAATAAGCACTGCTCAAAAGAGCTAGCGTATCTTGCACCTAAAATTCTACTAAAATTTATTTTCGTGTTATTCAATTTTTCTGCGACTTCCTAAGTGCTCTAAATATTCTTATTCGACTAGTTTATTTTGTTTCATTCATCTTGCTTTCCTGATTTATTTAATTTGCAATCTTTTAAGTTGTCTGCCACTTGTTATCTTGCTTTATAAACTTCATCTTTTCTCTTCCAGTAACTTCTAACTCTAATAGTGGTTGGTTGCAGCCTTGTTGAAAGCTAAAATATTGAAAAAAAAAGTCTATATTAATATTATAAAAATAGATTTTTTTAAAATATTTAAAAACGAGTACCTTGCTGCTAATTTTAATCAGTTATGTAACTGAGAATGAGGTTAGGTTCCTTACCCTGTGAAGTTACATGAAGCCTGTGCATTGCTACAACCTTCAAAAGTGAACAAGTATTAATGTAAATTATCAGAAATCCAGGATTTTGCGCAAAAAAGGATACATACAACAAATGAGGCTTTAGGTTTGAGTAGTTACAATTTTATCCATAAAGTACGTACGCTCATAGGGGGGAGGGAGGAGGTCTTCAAAAAGCGTACAAAAACGTACGGGGGAAGGGGGAGAGGGAAGGGTTCAATTTAAAAGTATGTACTTCGATTTTCTAATTTTACACAATTAACCAGGTAGTCAATAGAAAAGTTAAAATTTTGACTAAAGATCCTAGTTTGCTAACATAAAAAGATGTATTGTATAGGGAGTAAAAGGTATAGTTTCTCTCTATGCACACACATGCATGGGCACCCGCAGAATTTTTTGCTGTTCCAGATAAACCACTTCCACACATTGTGCAAACTCCAATCTTAGGTATGTTTATACCTATGCCATTTGAAGAGGCCTTGCGAAAAATCGTTATGGCGGTAGCCTGGGAACAAAAAAGCCCTCAAATACTTGCATCCCTTCCCCTCCCCAAACATGACGGCACTTATTTAGTAAAATTTTCCAACCCCCTCCCCCCAAAAAAATAAATAAATGAGGGGCTGTACATTTTGAATCGACTTTTGTAATTTACAATATTTTTCAATGAATTTTTAATTCTGTCAATAAATTTGGATTTAGTTTTAGATCGCTAAGTTAAAAATTTTACTACATAAGTGCCCTCACGTTTGAGCAGGGGGGCAGGCATTTCAGGGCTATTTATTGACCGGTCTCCACCATCCCAATTTTTTACAAGGTCTCCTCTTTGGCATAGGTATAAACATACTTAAGTTTGGAGTTTGCACAATGTGTGATAGTGCCCTATGTGAAACATCAAAAAATACTGCAGGCGCCCATGCCACCCCTTATATACTGGCCCTGAGTATACTCAGGGCTAGTATATAAGGGGTGGCATGTATGCATGCATTCACAAAAAAAAGGTTGCCTATTTTTTAAGTCAACAAAAAACAGGTTTTAGCAGTGCAATGGCTAATAGGTAGAAGACCTCCCCCCCTCCCATCAAAAAAAAAAAGTGTCATTAGGGTCTCAAAACCTTCCAAATTTTACCGCTAGGTTTTGCTAAAATAAAATAGCAAAAGGGCATAAAATTTGCTGCTCCCCCACAATACCCCACCCCCTCTAATTATGGGATATGGGTAGCCTACACTCGGCACTGGGTTTTAAGCTTTGTTTTCAATATTACTCTTCTCGCGTGACTCGCTTTTTACGGACTAAAGAGGGGTGCCTGAAAAAAACGTCTGCCTTAAATATAGTTCATTTTTATTTGATGTGTCTCATTAAACAAAAAAAGTAAAATAGGACTTTACTGGGAATCGAACTCGAGTCTCCGCTGTCACTGCCCATAACATTATCCACTCGGCCAAGCGAACTCTTTGGTCTTGCGAGATTATATTTAAATTTATATTTATATATATTTAATGATGTTTTTTCAATTAGGATCCTTTGCCGCTAACAAAGGGCTTTAGTACTATATACATTTTTCACCCCCCGCCAATTTATTTATTTTTTAATATAAAAATTTAATTAAATAAAAAAGGTGGAGGACGTACCCTAAATACTTTTAAAGTATCTAGGGTATCTCCTCCACCTTTTTTTTTTTCAATGGGAGGGGGCTATATGAAAAACATATGAACTTTTCAAGGCAGTTAGGGACTTAAAAATACGCATGGCAACAGGGGGGAGGGGGTGTCAAATTTCAGAATTTTTGGCATACGTACTTTATGAAAAAAAACATCTTTAAAAAGTACTGTAAAAAAATATATATATTTACTACCACACACACATATTTATATAGGTCAGAAAAGACCTGGCTTTCACAAGCCAGCAAATTACATTTTGCTATGACCATTTGACCGCAGCTAATTAAAAAAAACAACACGCTAAATGAAAAATATTCTGAAAAAGTGAAATTAATTACATCAAAACTTCTTAAAAAATGTTTTTATATTAGCAAAATGCTTTTAAATTAAGAAATATTTTACTAATAATGTTTTTTTTTTTAAAATATAAATGACAGTTACATATTTTTTTAACTTAATATATAAATTATAATATATAAATTGATTAAGCGTGCCTTTTTATAATAAACGTTAAAAATAAAAAATTGTTTTGTTTTTATAAACGATGACATTCTACGACTACAAAAGTCCCTTTAACGAATTTTAATAAGAATAATCAAAGTTAATACATTTAAAAAGATAAACAAAACTTTGTTGAAAAAATATAATTATGTATTTTTTATGAGAAATGTTTATCTTTTGAAACATATTAAATAAAAAAGAGTTTATTTGGATTGTATATATGATATTTTTTTGTGTTTTTGCTTTAACTATTTTTTTTATTTTCTCTTTTGTTAAGATTTTTTTTCTTTCTACAATTTTTTTTTTTTAGATAAGTTTAGGTAAGTTTTTGTAGCGCATTT